GCTAGAGCAGGGCATTCATTCTGACGAACACGTGCGCCATCTTAGTGCGCCATTCAACCAAACCAACTGAAACCATCCAGAACCATGCCTTGTTATTCCTTGATAAATCCGCGTAAAAAACAAAACATACTTTTCAAGCTTCCAAGTGCCCTCCTCCAGAAAGCAACTCTTGTTGGCAACCTGACAGAGAGGAAAAGAACAAAAGTGGAGACATTGAGACTAGTCTTGGGGACCAGGCCTCATAAGACTCCAGAGCTAGAGCAGGGCGCCATCTTAGTGAGCCATTCAACCAAACCAGTTGAAACCATCCAGAACCATGCCTTGACATACCTTTCTTTTTTCTCCGCTGTTAAAACCCATGAAAAAGAGTACAGTAATATTTATATGTTGCCTATCCTGCTTTATGTATATGAGCGGCGGTCAAAAACAAACCTATAGTAAGATTGTTTGAAAGGTGGTATGGAAAATGGTTAGAATGTTGATTTTAAGTATTGGTTTAGTAGCGGGCCCCAGCAGAATCATGCAAACCACCAAGGCAGCGCTAGATTGGCGCTAGGTTCGCAGTTGATTTTTTACTTGTCGTATATAGATGTGTTTAGAATCCTGCGCATATTGCGGGGGAATGCTGCAACTGACGTAGATTAGGCTGTCTGCTGACATGCTTTTGGGTAGTAGTATACTATACTGGGGAAAATACAGAAGTGACCTCTGTGATGTGTGTTGTTTTTACCTCAAACTGGAACAAGTTCTGAGTTGTGTGCGCTAGATCCGCGCCAGCATTTGCGCTAGGTTTGTGCTAGCACAGGTCTCAAATGTGATCAGATGTCCATTAGTCACATTATTCCTGGAAGCAGATCTTCGCCAATACTACTTGGAAAGCTTGTGCCCATGTCTCTGTTCCTATCAAATTCCTCACCGCATGGTTAGTTTAGACAACAAAAGGTCATCAAAGAGCTAAAAAAAGCCTTTGCGCTAGCTAAGTTTGCAACATTCTGCACCTCTGATTAAAATACTTCGCATTTCTACACATCCCAGATACCCTCTCTGAAATGTATTGAACAAGAAGCGGACCCCATCAGAATGAATTTTACAGAAAGCATTTCTTAGAGCCTGTGCGGTGTTATGACTGATTGCAGCTTGTGCACTAGAGTGGCTCAATCCTAACATAATTTTCTTTGTTTTTTTGCAATCTTACACGTCGCAGGTTTAGTGCTAGTAGGCTCTCCAGTTAATGAGGTCGTGGAAACTTCGGAACCATCTTACACGTTGTGTGACGAATGTGCCGTCTTAGCGGGACCCCCTATAGTTCTGCGTGGTTCACGCTTTCAGACCAAGAGTCTGTCCAGTCACATCAAAGGACCCGACCAGGAGACAGTCTGCGGCTTTTAACCCAGATCTATACTTGCACATTGAGGGTTTGTCAGCACTGTAGCTGTCTCTCCTGACAGAAATCCCCTGACGGATGAAGGCAAGGTGATGAGACAGAGTTTGTTGTTGTTGGAGATCGAGGACAACCCTATAACAGTTTCGGCATGGGCTCTGCGCCGAGCCTTTGCACCGGCATGAACTTCAACCGCCTATCTGGAGTCCCTAACTTTTGTATAAACCAACATGGTTCTAGCTGGTGACATGCGGTTTGAGGGAGCGTGAGGGGTTTTGCGTTTCATTGGATATGATTTTGGGGACATCTTTCAGACACTCGATGGGACTGGAATAGATGTCCCATTGACTCCATTGACCCTGAAACAACCACCCACATGAAGCAGGCGAATTGGTCCCTGTTCAAAGTGCGCACCTTGTAGGTTGTGGATGGTGGTCGTTTGCCAGCCCCAGACAGGTCCAACTAGGTCAATATGCCATGCACTGTTTGGGTTTGGTCCAGGCCACCTCGGTGAGTTGTGCCTTGCGAGTTTGCGAAGGTGCTGGACACTGGGACGCTGGCCTGCTTTCAGGGGTGGATTGATGGTCCGGTTGATGCCACGGCTATGAGCTGATGAATGATTATCGAATAACACTTTGTTCACACCTTATTTAAATATTTGTGATTGCTAAACAGCACCTCGAAAGCAGCCTGGCCTGTGGAACATTTGGGTAAAGGGACCGGGTGTGGGACTCACATATCCCAGACCATCCACGTGACTGGAATAGTTACATATGGTTATTACATACATCCATCCCATTTATAGCCCATCCATGTAGGTATTTATTCCACACAAAGATGGTCTGGAGTCTGGGTATAGTCACTATAGCCTTTATACCTAATTTCCTTAGTTTTTGAACGCGAGATTGATCTGGTCTTGGAACGTGCTGCATCCAAAGATTTGATTGTTTTCTGTCACTGCTTAGTTTTTTCCGGTTTCTTTTCCTCATCGTCTAGGTATTTCGGTGGTGTGGTTTGGTTTTTTAAGTGTCTTTGTGATCTGTCACTGCTTTATTTAAAACTATCTTCTGCAGACCTTTTATGAGCCACTCGAGGGTAAAATTTAGAGAAGACTGGAGCCATTTACGTAGCATACCCTTTGTGCCAAAAAGGGACCGACTTGAGTCTGTGTTCCAAATTGAGTCTAATTCTAATCCTGTGTTTGTGTTCCAAATGAGTCTAATCGTGTGCTCCAAAATGAGCCGTTTGCCTGTAATGTCGAGTCTTGATGAGATTTCATGTCTGAGCTTTTTCAATCCATGTCTGGGGACGTAATATAAGTGATCCATATCCCATGTGGACGCGAACAGTCCACAAGTGAGTGCATCCATGTCTGGGGTGGGTTTATTAGTTCCACACCTCCACAGTTCCAGGTGCAGCCACGGCTCAATGGGCCCAATTCTGGCGAAGAATGGGTTCGAGCGCAGGCCGGTGTTATGACCACCAAGTTCGGTATGCCCACCCCACAGTCAACCTGAATGTTTATAGATGCGCGAACCCCCCTTACATCATCTTACAGATAGCTCGCGAGGTGCTCCAATTAAGGTAGATTTGCATCATGCACCAGTGCCATTGCACAGTTTGCTTGCTCACTACCTCTCAACAGGGGCCAGGATAAGGTACCATCTATTTTGTGCTCGCTTACTACCCCTCTAAAGGGGCCAGGTTGAGGAAACCATTTGTGATATTTGCACCTGGTGCCTGCTGTTTGACAGGCCAAGAGACGGGCAGCTCGTCTCCACAGCCTCATTTCATTGGCGTATATGGGCGTCAGGTCCAGTGTAAAAAGACAACAGTAAACCATTGGACCAGATTGTTGTTCAGCGACGCAAGCAAAGCAACTGCGCGGAGACTTTAGGTTGATTCGAGGGTAGTTACTGAGTGTTTTCCATGAGTTTCCTCAATCTGGGAGGATGAACATGACCTGCCAAGGTGGGTTGACAGGGTTGCCGAAACCGAATTGCCCTCATGGAGCCGGATGGTATACCGCACATGTGCTTCAGTTGTTATGATCAAAACACCTCTGGTTCGGACCGGGTCGGAAGACACGACCGGTTGGAAGACACGAGGAAGCGGCTTTGGAGCTGATCATGGAGAGCTCCCACAGGCTGAGAACGAACTGACGACACGTGTTTTGGGACTGTTGGGACTCCAACGGGACACGCTTGCGGTCTTAGACCTCTGAAAGCCTTGAATGAAAAATGGACTGTGGGGGACTCCAACATGTTACCTGGGTACCTTGCAACTTCGGTGTCCGTTTGGTCGGACTGGGGAGGTTTTCCTGTCGGTGGGCGGGCGGAGCCCAGTTCTGGGGTCATGGTTAGTGGTTGATATTTTTGGTGAAACTGGCTGTGCATCAACAAAAATGAGGGGAGATTTATGATCTAAGAGACGGGGAGGACCAAGTATCTGGCGAACAGGGTGGCACACCTGGCATGAGAAGATCCTTCCTCGCAAAACATGTTTTGATGGAATGGTTCCGAGTGTTGTTTCGGTTACTCAACAGTGTCTGGGACATTCTGGAACATGATGTTAATGCACGTTCATGCTAAGGTGAACACTGTCATGGTCTGTCCAAGGCATCCAGCTCATAGACCCCTCCCCCTTTGAGTCAATCGAACCTCATGGACTGCCGCCCCGCCCCTGCATTGTCGGTCCCGACACCCCTCGCTGTTCCCCAGGCGCATGGTGGACCTGGTCTCGGCCAACGGCGCTTTGAGTGCGCTCTCCACCGCCCAAGCGGCTTCGTGCGCTGCGGCGCTCGTGAGGATCGGTGTGAGTCGGACGGAGTCCCGCGCCGCAGATCGGACGGTTGGACGGTTGAGAGATCAGTGGTTGTATCGGTGATCCGAGGTGACTGGGTCAGCATCTATATGTTTGGAGCCTAATTAGGATTCCTGGCACATCATTGAGTTTACCAAGTGGTTTATTCTGAATTTAGACTACAACACCAAGTTTTCTAAGTTGTGCTCGATGGTAATTTGAAGAGGTCTTTGTACCTTAAAGTGGTCCTTTGTCTCCCAGGCGAACCGAGCCGGTAGATGTTTGTTGAGCAAAGCTACGACAAAATCTGTGTCGATCTGTGAAGACGTTCAGCGTCCACCAAGGAGACCCATGAAGACGCCCAGTGTCCAAAGGAAGACTTCACTAAAGATGCCCAGGTCCAAAGTCTTGGCTCGCAAGGGAACATAGCCAGGTGACCAGCTCGTAGGCTGTCCTGGCAGGTGATATGTTGACACGCTAAAGCTCCAGCAGTCCACTGGAGCTTTGTTTCATGAACCAAAAACCATTCTCCTTAGGTCCTTCCATTGAAGACCCGGATGAATCCGGGCCGCGAGCCTACCAAGTCTCTCGCCTCCTAACAGGTCGCTGTCCTCCTGGCACCTGCAGCCCGATCGCTACAGCTTCAACAGCCTCATCGCAGCCTACGTGGGCGCCACGTCTCTCGGGCTTGACTTTCGCCCACATTTTTTGTTAAAAATCATGGGATTCATTGGGGATTTGCGCATGAAAAACAAGGACAGTTTGGTTAAATAATATTAAGCTACCGTCGTTGTTTCAGAGGTTCGATGGCACTGGTACCCAAAGATCATGTCCTGGACCCCTATGGGGGTTCATAATATATGAACCCTTCTACTTGCGGTAACTTGTGTCATCGAACCTCTGATGGGATCGAGTGAACTCGGCTTTAACGCCCCAAAGTGACACAGACCCGATGGGAGCCATGGCAGTAGTTGAAGCCGTAACTTGAACCGAGCATTGGGACTCTTGAACGATGTTGAAAAGGGGTCTATGGACATATTACAATCCAGAATTATACCAGGACCCTCCAAGGGGTGCCCAATGGAAGCCTATAGGTAGTGTGGGGTAGTCCATTGGACACCCCTTGGAGGGTCCTGGTATAGTAATATTATAGTTACATGGACTGTCAGGATATTATTAGATTGGTTGGGACTTGACTGCGGTACACATGGGCCATGATGCTGCTGTTTGGGCTGTTGAAGTTTTGTTGGCAGGTTTGACTTTTGCACCATTATTATACGCATATAATCTCTGGACTCTGGAGCGGTGGCAGGTGGGATTGTCGTGGATACAGGGTCCACAAGCAACACAAAACTATCCCGTTCAGACGTCATAATGCAAAGATGCTAGGATCATGATGCAATCATGGTCAAATGATGTCCTCTCACTTTGCATATTCTCCAAACACTTCGGGATTTCGCTCTAGCAGGCGTTTATTTAGTTCAGGTTATATTATACTTTATGACTGTAGATACCTCGTTTTCTCACCCACCGCCCGAAGCGTGAATGTCTCCTGTTCCCAGGTCGTGGCTCCAAAGTCTCCAAGAGTTCGAGCACATGGCGTGTGGCTTCCTCCAGCCATCTGGCTGATCTGGTGATGTGTCTTCTTCTCCCCAGTTCGAGAATGTCCTGAAACTTAGACGTGACATCAGTGATCAATGATTGAGGAATGGAAATTGTTGAAACACCTTAGAAGCCGTGCAAAGGAAAACTGTTACCTATCGGATCCTATCGGGTTTGTTACGATTTTGGGATTCTGTTTTTAGTTCCTATATAGAATCTACAGTGATGTTGTAGTTTTGTTGTCAGCAACTCTAAGGCCCGATGACGTCTCATATCGAGCGCTGTTGAGTGCAGGCAGGGGGTTGAGAAGGACCAAAGGGAGGTTCAAGATATAGTGTATACCTAGAACCAATTTGACCTTTGTTTTGATAGGAAAAGACCATATTTGGGCTCCAAAACAAGGGTCAATCAGCTTCTAGGTATAGGTATATATACTGGTATATACTAGTATATATATATATATACAGCCACCTATCAAAGTATCCACATAATCAGTATGGTTGGTTCAGGCGACTCGCAAGGAAAGGATGCGTCCTAGGACCAAACCCCCAGTCACTGAATTTGACTGAAGTCGTTTTAGATTATTACAGAGTTCCGTGGTTGGGGTGTCTCTTCGGTTTAGAAGAACATAGGGAAAGAAAAGACGTCGTCCAGAGCTGGTGACTGAACCGGTTCGTCCTGCTGGTGTGGTTGTGACTCCTCTTGGAATGTTTGCCAGGTCACAACCTGCCTTGGACGCTGAGCCTCACTGTCCTGGACGCCTGGGCCGTGCGGGGGCCGGGCATGGGATGTGAAAAGACGGATAAAAGAAGGGCATGGCTGCATTACCACTCACTGAAGCTGCATGGTTCATTCGGCCAACGCGACCAAAATGGGTGTTGCTCGGTGAATCTCATCCGTTTCGCCGAACGGGGCGGTGTGTGGCACTCAGGAGAGCAGTACAGATCCGGCAGCAATAGCGCGAGTTCAACTCGCCCGAACTCACCTGAAATCATCCACCCGAGCCACGCATCCGCCCTCTACTCCATCTGGCTGAACATGATGGGTGGACATGTTCGAAAGCTAGCATTCATCAATTCATCACTTCACCTGTACTTCATATGACTTGGTCGTTTCAGTCGGTCTCTTCGAATTCCCCCCAAATCATGTCCGAACCGGAAATTGCTTTGGTTTCCGGTGCTTGGCCGGTCCACACCGTCGCAGGAGTCCCTCGGAGCCCTGGACGCCTCGCCCTCCGTGCTGGCGCTCCACGATGCCTCGCGGTCGGCGGAACGTGCCGGTGGAGCGCGAGTGGTGCTGGCCACGCTGCTGGAGCTGGGAGAGGGAGCGATGGGTTTGGAGATGGGAGGTCCAAGGTGCACGTGTCAGGGCAGAAACGTGAGGGAAACACTAGGAAGGAGCTTTAAGCTTTACCTGGCAATGTTTGTTGGAAACAAAATGGGTGAGATGTTCCAGAGCAATCTGGGAGCCAGTTCACCTTGAGTTTCCCTCAGGCATTGGAGTCGCCAAGGGCAGTGTAATGGGTATGGGGTGCCCCAGGGGGGTGGGCTTCCAGGGCTGCAGAGCCATTGGACAACACAGAGCTATGAGAATCTGAGGAAGTCGATTTGATTCCTTTGATTCCGGACGAACATGCTCAGACTGGTGACAGTCTGACGCTTGCGTTCCTGACAGTGAATCAGAGAGTGGCATGTCTTGCACCAAAATCATCCTATCATCGTTTGCACTCCCAGGACCCAGTCACTGGCATGCTTTTAAGATCCTTTATTTAACCCAGGGCATCCAGGCAAACCACTAGTTCGCTGGTAACCAGTGGTTCCAAACACTAAAACCATAGACTTAGAATCCATGGTTCTTTAGATAGTGGTAACTGCGATCCACTGGGTCTTTAAGATGTTTTAGTTTGTCAATCTTGTCCAAGGAAACCGAGAAAGGGTAAAATACATTGAACAATTAACACTGTTCACTGTTAACACACAATCGTTCACACCACCGTGAGAAAAGCCGTAGGAGACCACCTCCAATGTGGCCACCATGGCATTGGCGAGAAAAAGGGCCGAGCGACAGGACAAGGCTGTTGGGTTCATGGGTTTGTATTTCAATAATGAGACCCGCCAACCGGCTCCTTCAGCTTTCCCAAGATTTGATCGGCCGGGGGGTCTTCATGTTTTCATGCACATCCCTGGGACCCCGTCAGTCCCACTCAGGTCCTGGTCTCCAGAAAGCTGGTCGTTCTATGGCATGAATTCCCTCTTTCAATGTTTCGCACCCGAGTTTTTACGAAAATAGAAGAGTCCGTGTACGTCATGGAGCAAAGAGGCGAAATTGTCCGGGTCTGAGGGTGTCGTTTTGTTCGAAGCGATCGAACCGAGCTCGGTTCTTCAGCAGGGATCTGTAAGACTGTGATGCAAAGACAAGCACATGTTGACATAATCATGGAAGGGGATATAAACACCCCTTGTTTGTAGATCATCGAGGCCATGCGATCCACATAATCATGATTTCATGGAGTGGATATCGTGTAGTAGCTTATATATATATACCTACGACTTCCCAACTATCAATAATTTCTGCCTTTTCACCAAGATCTGCCTTTAAGCGGCAACAGGCGACTTTACTAGACCACAGGCGTTTCTCAAGTTTTCAACTGCATGACTCAAACTACTCTTTGTAGATTACCCTAGAGATGACAAAACCCTGATGGTCGCACAACTGAAGGATGCGGAGAGATTTTTCCACCATTCTTCTGCTGCTCAAGTTCCGGCACAGGTGTGAGAAGCACGCGCATAAATCTTCGACACAAAGATGTTCCACTAGCCGTTGCTTTAATGCCTATGTTAAATTGAATCTATTGTATAATATGATAACATCACACAGTGGCATTAAAAGGAAGTGCCAAAAGCTGCTCAGAGCAACTCAGAGTTGCAGCATGGCTCCTGTGCAGGTGCCGCTCCCCCACAGCTCAAGAGTTGAAGCGTACATGGAAACACTTCGTCAGTTGGTTGTCGCCTAACCAAGTCTTGATATACTGTTTGGTCTTGTAGCCATTTGGGTTTTGTCTCCGGTGATCAGGATTTACCGCGCATTCCCCATGGCCTCTTCGGCCACTGATGCCCAGCCGGACGGCGAACATCTCCTGGGGGCGGCTTTTGAGGATTGCAAGATCTTGAGGGAACGGATCAAACAAAAAGGACATCAAATGACTCGTTGGGTTACCCCGAAAGCGAAAGGCATTCCGTCGGTCAAGGCTATGGCACTCAACCATCATGCTCTTGAACTTGTTGCCCATTGGCACTGTCCAAAACATGACTACCCCAAGACAGTCTGCATCGATGACGTCAGAACCCAGGCCAGGTACTTTGAGGGAAACTTGGGCTTAGGAAAGCATGGAAAGCTATCCTGATAACTGACAGCTGCTTATTTGATAGCTCCTGTTTTTGTATTAAGTCGTTAGAGTTGGTACATGTGTCAAGCGCAGCTAACAACCCATGCGTTGCAGATCAAGTGGTTTCGTGAACAAGTTGGTGTAGAAGATTCGCCCGCGAGTTTGCAGCTAGACAGTGCTGGCTTGAAGAAATTTTTCAGCCACGGCATTCGCAGATTCTGCGATTCCAACAGCGTTGTCAAAGCTCGCGAAGCCTGTGCTAGAAACAAAAATGTTTTTCTTCATTTGTTGCTTCCTTCTTAACATTCGACTCATTAGACGCTAGGGCAAGCATGTTTACAACCTAAGGATCCTATCTTGGAAGAGTTCTACAACATCCTTCGCGCGCATTGGGCAGAAGCGGAGAACTCCGGCACAATAGAGCGCTCTGATTCAATTCAGTCTGATGGATACTCAGACACGCCCTTGACTGACTTGGATGGAGAAGAAGGAGCAGAGGAAGAGGAAGCTACTGAGCATCATCAGGAAGAATCGCAAGCAATCACTGAGACCATAGTGATTCAGGATAGCCAGTACTCTGAGGACAGCCAGGAACCCTTTGGATATGAGGACAGCCAGCCGCCTCAATCTCTGCTCGATGAGAGCCAAGCTGCTGAGCTGGAGCCATCCAAGCAGGAGGAAGTTGAGAAGGTCAACTCCATGCCACCTCCACCAGTGCCAAAGAAGGGGCCCAGCCTGAATTTGGCTGGTGTGAGGGTGCAGTTGCCTGCAACCCCCATGCCTGACGAAGTTGCTAAGTATGCGACCCTTGCGAAAGCTAGAGTGGCACAGTTGCAGTATCTTGGTGGCTTGAGAGTGTTGAAGAAGAACATGTAAAAGTTACAGAAGTATTTGTTCAATTCTTTGTTTGGTCTTTGTTGTTCTTGTCTGAGGCAACAGCTCGAGGCAAAGCGGATTTTGCGAGAAGCTGAGATCTCTGCGCAGGGTGCGTTTCGGGATGCTTTGGGTGGAAGCATCTCAGATGTTTTAGGTCAAGGTTTTTGTTGTTGTGTTTTCTCCAGCTTGTGTATGGGTGTGATCTTGTTCAACAAGCCCCAGGTATGGACAACGCTGATACGCTTCCGATGGAGCAGGATGAAGCCACGGCAGCCATTTTGCGGGCGCCGACTCGCATCTTGGGTGAGGACAGTCCCAGCCCAGCGCAAGAAGTTCTTCCTGGCAAGAAACTGCCAGAGCCACCCAGTGCTTCTGGGCATGATTCGACTAGCTTGGAGCCTGCAAAAGAGGTTGAGAAGGAGCCTGTGCACCCCAAGCCCGATCCTCCTCGTTCTTGTCACTCACAACTGGATCAACCAGCTGACCAAGATGACAATGATTTGGAGAGAATCACGATGCTTCCAGTCAATGCAGAGGCGGTTTCCAAGTTCTTTGGACTCTCAAAGAAAACAATTAAGCAAGATTCTGCTACAATTGTGGCTTCATCTTCGCAACAAGTTGTTGAGGTGGCCAGGGCAAGTGAGCCTCCTTTGGTTGCTGTGGGTCAGGGCATGGCTGAAATGCCCAAGGTTGCTGCAGCAAGCCCTCCTTCTGATGTGGTCGAAGAGGGTCCGGCGAAGACCGGCGATGCAGCGATCGGTGCAAGTTCTACTTTGGAAGGAAAGTCTGGTGGCAGTGCGGCTACCAAAGGTTCCACTGAGCCTCAGGGAACGTCAAGGCCGCTTCTGGACCCTCCTTCTGCCTCAATGCCTATTGTGATGAGGGAAGCCCAACAAGCCTTCAAGGCTGCAAAAAAAAACAAACGTCCAAAGGATCCTGAAGCAAAAGAACATGAACCTGCTGAGGGGGATGGTCTTCCACCAAAGGCCGAAGCTGGTGGAGGTCGGAAAGCCCAGCAGTGCAAGATGAAGCGCCCAGCTGCTTGCCCGGCCAAGAGGATGAAGACTGAACCTGCAGCGCGTAACTTGGAGAGTGAGTTCGATTCTGCAGCAAGTGACGCTGCAACGAAAGGCACTGCTGAAGAAGGTGATGTTCCAAAGCCAAAGACGAGGCAGTCCAGGAAGAAGAAAGCTGATGAGGAGACTTCAGCTGAGGTGGCCCAGAACATTGATGGCAAGTCCAGCCGCAAAGCAGAGTCGGAAGAGGGCCAGCTCAGTGGAAAGGAGAGCAAGAAGCCCAGGAAGTCAAGAGCATCATCCCGACCTGAAGAGGAGGAAGGCTTGCGAGTTTTGCCTCTTGGCCTGAAGAAGGACTCTGGTGGGGAACGATGTACCTTTGCTGGGCGGCCGGCTCCAAAGTCAGCAGATGCCAACAACCGGTTCACCGTGATGCTGACGACCTTTACCTCCAAGATTGCGCCGTTCATCACCACCAAAAGTGCAGTTGAGGTGCGGGGCAACCAAAAGAACACATTTAAGGCATACCACATACCAAAAGAGCATGTTCAAGTGGCAAACCATGGCAAATAGTAGTAAGATTTTGATGATTTTGAGTTTTGGTTTGTGTGAGACCTTGCAGTTGATCTGGTGGAACTACGCATTCAAGAAGCTGTTGAACTCGGAGAGCTCAACCGTTGCGGACTACCAAAGGATCGCAGCCGAGGAGGCAATTGCTTTCATGCGCAGTGACCTCATCAAAGACTACCTGATTACTGAAGAGAGCTGAGTAGTTCTTCTTTCAGTTCGGCATTGGGCTTAGGTCGTTGGCGACTGGTTGTTCAATGTTCCACGGATAAAGAAATGTTCTTTCGTGTTTTCGGGGATTCCAGTCTGTGCCAACTCTCTGACAGTGTCCGATGCAGTATTGATCTGTAGGCCTCAGCTGGGCCTATAGGTTTTTGGATGAACTAGCCAAGAGTTTGGGGGGCCGCAGTCCGAGACAACAAAACCATGCTTGCACTCACCCTCGCCACTTCTTTTGTTTAAGTGTGCTTTTTGAGTTGGGTATGCTAGTAAACGCCCCGCAGGTGAATGCCGCAGAAACTCAGAGCTGGCCAGGCACGGCTGGCGAGCCTGGGTGTGTTTGATGAAGGTGCTTCCTGCGAGTTTGCTGGCCCAAGCTTTGGTTGTGCTTTGCTCAAAGGTTGCCAAGCAAATCGTTCTTTGTTGCAGCCTTTTTTCTGTGGTCCAATCAGCTGGACAGTGGACCGGCATGACTCCGGCTGAAGTGGACTTGGTGATTCGCCGATTACTAGCTATGGGTGCCACCAAAGAAGCTTAGCGTGATAAAGCGTCTTTTCAACTATCAGTGTGTGCATTGTGTAGCTCTTGTTGTCATTTGACTTCAATCTCTGAGGAGTTTGTATTCATTGTGCTCATGTGCTCCTGGCTCTCTCATGTCCACCTCAAGCAGGTTGAAAACTGGTCCATTCTCGACTTGTTTTGCGGCAAGGCCAACATCTCTAGGTTGGCCGCCAAGCTAGGCTATCGAACGCTTAGCTTCGACACCATCTTGGGTGAGAAACCACAGCCCAAGAAGAATCGGAGATTCCATGGACCACAGAGACACTCAATGGATATTAACGGTCATTGTGGATTCGTGTCCCTTAGCTAAGATAAACAGTAAATACTGTGATTGAAAATTATATTTTGAGTTCATGGAAATCCTGAGGACGGCTTAAACAATCGCTCACCCAGTCCTCGTTGCGGCCCAGGCTTTTGATCATCTACTTCTTGGAAAGCGGATTTGGACACGTCCTGTGCATAGCAGGCATTGGGACATCGAAGCGGTCGGTGTTGGTACCCGGTGGAAACCCTAATTGCCTTGCAGCCAGGAAAGGCAATATCCAAATATCAAGGACCGAACCTACAAAGTGGTTACATTTCTTTATTATGTAGTTGTTCATACTCCAAATGCATATCTTTAATTATCTTTCCAAGTGGAAACCACAGGGACGCCAATGGAATCCACTTACCCTGAAAAGCTTTTGTTGGGGGTTCAAGAATCACTGCCTTTACCACCACGGCCTCTCACACAAGAATGATTCTGTAGGATCGAAGCCGGTGATCGATGTGTTCTTCCAGGATGAGTCTTCTTTGTATGCTTTGCGCCGCTATGGACGGAGCATTCGTCTTGGAGAACCCGGGGTCGTCACTAATCTTTTGCTGGCACCTTTTCCTTCAAGCAGTCCGACTTTTGAGATCGGTGGGTCTTAAGGCGGGGCCTCACTTCCACCCTCAACAGTATGAGTGTTTTTCTTGGGCCCCCTTACTCTCTGGTGTCTGGCAGGTCTACAGGATTGGAATATGGATGCAGGACTTCAAACACCCCACACCCAAACCGACGATCTTGGTTGACAACACTGACCAGCTTTCTCGGCTGCTCCACGAGGGAGCTCAGAAAAAGCAAACCAAGAGACGTGCAGAGTTTGAGACTGCGGTCAAGTACACAAATTCTAGAGGCGAAGAGTGTTGGAAAGGAAGCCCGAACTTGAAGTCAACACAGTTTCTTGGAGAGAACTCTGTTGCAAACATGGAAGGGTTGACACAATGCAACGGAAAAGTCACAATTAAATAGGACTGCTGTGTTCAATGCTGTGTCCAACAATGTTGGGTTCTCTGAAACAAACAACGCTCAGGACATACACAGCGCGGTTTGCTAGACGCCTTTTGGAAATGGTTCCCTTCCTGGAGCCGGCGCCATGGACTCATCCCGTGACCTAGCTGTTGAAGGTTTGCTGAACCCTCTAAATCCTACACGTATCCATCACCATCCCCGCTATGAGGTGGACCTGGACACACCGTTGCACGAGCTATTCGGGTCCATGCCTCCAACCCGCTGGCCTGATGCAAATTTGGACCTTGTCGTTGAATACCTGAGAGGATGCCAAAAACTGGCAATCCCGCCGGAGTTTCGACCGATTCTGCCCCATTTCTGGAACTAACGTTCAAGAAATGTGTTTGTGCACGTGTTGCAAACTAGCGCCCCAAAACATCGTTTTTGAAACAGGCGACTTTACCCGACCAACAGGCGACTTTTCCCGACCAAAAGGCGACTTTACCCGACCACTCATTTTTACAACTTTTTGATGGGGCAGAAACATTTTGTATGATGGGTGTTGACTGTTAACGCTGCTTGCCAATTCAGAATGGGATCTGCCCACGTTGAACCTTGCAACGTGAGCAGTTCGATTGGACCCTGATGGGGAATCACAAATTGAGATCTGTAAGGGAAGCACAAAAAGAGTCAAACCATGTTAAAGGGTTGGTTGATCTTTTGAGGTCACTGACTAGTTCTTGCAATCTTTGGCAAACCAACACGGCAATCATCCTAGGACCTGATTGGTGGGATGTGTACAGAGAGGGTTTACACGAGTGTTTTTGGAAGCATTGTCGCAAACACATGTTACAGGACACCTTGTGTTCATGATTGGTGAGGAGGTGCTTTGGCCCAAAACTTGGTTGTGATTGCTTTGCCCTGGGACTATGCAGCCCATGGTGAGTAAGGGGTGGTCAGGAAGCAGTTTGGATGAAGGGATGATGTTGGCCTCTGCCACTAGTCAAGCCTTTGCAACCGCTCCCTTGGACGAACGTGCTATGCTAGAGGAACTTGCAGTCCCTTGTCTCTGTTTGGTTGATGTTTCCAATCAGTAGCTGTCATGGTTGAACAACAATCATATTTTCCACTACTGTTTGCATCACATCAACTGATTTGGCTTCTGGAAACTAGCACAGCGCCGAAGCATTACAAACAGAGGTTCTAAATGGTTCCAAACCCTTCAAAGAGCCCCACTTTTCAACAGGACACCCTTGGCTAAGGCACTTCAAACATGGATGGCTGACAACACCACTCGGCCCGTGCCAAGTCCCGCACGAGAAGGGGCTGGCCAGCTCTCTCGTACAGCCTCAGTGGCTTCGACGGTGCCTGCAGATCTGGGTACAGCTGGATCTGATTCCGATATTGAGATGGTGCAAGAGCCAGATGTGAAGGAAACAATGGATGAGATTCCATCACCTAGCACGGTCTATTACCCTGAAAAGCGGGATCAACCAGGGGGTGAGGAAAAGAAGTCTGGTGGGGGCCTTGTTGAGATCCCTGGACCTACGAACTTAGGTGTGGATGTGACCGATGTACCTGACATTGCGGACAAGACTGCTCCTAGGTTTAGAAAGGGCCAACATCACATTACTCCAAACGCGATCAGATGCAGAGCTAGGCGCATCTTCACCCCGAGAGCCAATGGCACCTACAAGGTTTCAGATGATATTTACAACGAATGGCATGGCAAAGGCCAACCTCGCAAGAACCTAGAGGATATCTTCCGGTCCTGTGGGTATGACCCTGATTCTCGATGGTATTGGGAATGTTTGTCATGCATGACATGCTTTTGTTTGTGATATCGAACATAATCGGGATAGTCGTAGCTTTCCTGTCGGTACCTCTCGCTCAGGAAAGCTTTGTGTGTGAAGTCGAAGTGCTTCGGAGGGAGATGCAGTCCACGGAATTCCATATTGAAGCCGAGTTCTTGACCACGAATGAAATGATTGAGAAGGGTCTGTCAGAGTGACTCATCTAGTCATACATGTTGCCAACTCTAGGACATCTATGGTATGACAACCACACACTTCCAGGCAACGTGTCGAAGCGATCAAGCGTCACTGCAAGACTGATCCAACCCGGCTGATGAGGCAAGGGCAGAAGAGTTGAAGATGTGATGTAGACCACCATGATCAGCACCTGCAAGGTCCATGTTTCATGTCATGGAGTCTTTGCGCAGGAAGGACTTGTACGAGAAGGTCATGCGCTACTATTGTGAGATCAGTGTGAAGACTTCGACAAGGATGAAGTAGCTACAGTACATTACACAGCTCAGCACGCATCTTTGTTATTCTTTGCCTATCACTTGATCACCGTTGTTTCGTCTGCGTCATCCCATGTCAGGAAACTTCAATCGGTGGAGGTCCGAAAGCGGGCCAAATGGCAGGAACAGGGTTTGGGCGGATTGAACCTTGATCTCGAAGGAATGGACCAAAGTCTTGAAGATCCAGGCTTGACCTCACTTGTGCAGATTCTTCCAAATCTTCTGTTCAATGATCTTTGGACTCTGGTACACCAGAATTGGCTTTTACTAGCTCTCATGTTTTTTCAGGTGTCGATCAGGAGGAGTCGGACCAGGCTGACTCGAGGGAAGGTCTGGCTTCGAAGCGCAAATCGTTGGGAATACCGGAACTTGACCCAGATGTCCTACCCAGCAGTGTGGTTCAAAAATACCTGTGCCTAGATTGCATCAGTGATATTAGAAGATCTTGGAAGTCTAAACTTCAAAACACTAAAGAGGGTCTTGGGAACTGCTGAGAACAAACACTCTTTGAGGACTGCCCTGGCCAAACGGTTGGCCAAGATGCAACTGCTGTTCAACAAGTTCGATGACGCTGATAAACTTTCAGACATGCAAACGAGGCCCTTGTTTTGCACGAGTCTTGTGAAAAGGTAACTTTGCATGGTGGACTTAAAATGTTTGATGAATTTGCTCAGGCTAAAGACGGCCATTGATGACAATTGCAGGCTAATGGAGGGCATGCATACGTCACTTTCCGAGCAGTACTCGACCGGTGTGGTATCCGGATACAGCAAAACGTGCCGTTCTTATCAATTGCCTTTATTGAAACATGCTTGGTTAACTGCTTGTAGATAGTTCGTCAACACACAACATTCCACTATCTCCCGAGGCTGGAAAAGAGCGTGGGGGCCAAAATGCAGGAGGCTTCGGAACTGCTGGAACCTCAAACCGACCTCAACCCCACCTTGATTGAACGTGATTGAACAATGGGTTTCTTCTCACTGTTTTTGGGCATATGCAAAACCAAGGGCAGCACATTCGCTTTCACTAGAAGCACGTGCAAGGCGAGTGACCTTTTTACTTTATCATGATACTGTTTTGATTGTAGATCTATGATCTGTCCATTGCAACAGCTTGATGCTTGGAGGTCTTTCATCCCCAAGGCAGCGGACGCCAAGGCGAAGGCTAAGGCCAAGGCGAAAGCTGGCACCAAGGTGAAGGCACGTCCGAAGTCTGAGGCGTCGGCATCGGCCAAGAAAAAGGCCAAGAAATGATCTTGAGTCAAAACCCTTGACTGGAGCTTTCACGCTGGCAACCCGCCAACGTGTATGGCTTTTTGGGGAGCCGGGGTTTGAGTGGATGGCATTCCGGCATTTGTGTTTGAATGGTAAAATTCACACTGATTCAAGTAGACTCCTCTCCCTGATTGGACGCTGGTGCCAGAAGCTTAATTTCAACGCGTGCTGATCATGCGTTGTTAGTAGCACTGTAATTCAACAGTAGCGGTGGGATTACGAACCCTGATGTCAACACATGAAAAAAGGTTTGATCTTTGAGCTTTCAATTGCTGCATTTGCTGAAGTGTGGCTAGAGACCTTCTAAATAAATGATCTCTTGCAATGCCAGATGAAGCGGACCAACATGATTTTGAACTTGCAGAAGAATATGCAGAAGTTGTTGCTGATGGGGTTTGGGCCTCACCCTAACATTGCTTCATTTCCCACTTGGAAACATGGAGTTCTTACAAACAACACAGTTTCTCCTGTCCCAAATGCGCAATCTCGGCCAAGGCCCCAGCAGCAAGATTCAGAGCTTTTCACAGGGAAGCTCGAGGTCACATAGGTGAAGCTCACCTGTCAAAGAAGACCCGGGGAAATGAATCCAGAGACACGCATCGCTTCATCCAACGTTGGAACTTGACATGGAAAGTGCCAATGAAGTCCTTCCGGCACACCACTAATGACAACGAACAAGTGTCAGTCCACTACATCAGCCCCATTGACTTTGTCAAATTTATCTTGGAAAATGCACCAGAATTGGTTTTTGGCGGCCACTCTTCAGTTGCGATGGGACAGCAACAGTTGAAGGCATTCTGGAACAACTACGAGAAAACTCACCCAACTCACTTGTTGTTCAGCCAGCCGCACCCTCATCGAAGACGAGAGAACACCCTTTGTTTTTCCCTCCACGGGGATGAGGGCCGTGGATTGAAAAAGGGGAACACAGTGATCTTGACGTGGGAAAGCAATTTGGGGATTGAGACGGCTGCAAATTACACATGTGACAACCGACTTGATCAGTGCAGGTCATGCCACTTGGGTGAAGCGTGCGCGCAAAGGTTCAACACAGCTGCTGGGTTCATGCCACTTTCAGACATGCATCAAGACCCCTCGCCTTCATCCTATGAGACTCACAATACGGGGGGGAACTCTTTCCTGACCAAATTTGTACTTGCAGCTTTACCCAATTCCTTGTACAAGGAAACAAATGCTCTTGACATTGTGCTGGAGAACATTGTGAATGACTTTCGCACATTGTTTGAATCTGGCGTCGAAGTTGCTGGAGTGAGGTTTTTTTGTGCAACAACTGGACTCAAAGGTGATCTCAGATGGTACGAAAAGGTAGCCAACTTGGTTCGCTGCTTTAACAAGCAGATAGGATCACAACTGTCCATGTGTCACGAGTGTGCGGCTGGTAGTGCCAGGATCCCCTTTGAGGACGCGTCTCACCAAGCCGAGTGGCAAAGGCAGTTGTGGCCAAGTCGACCTTGGAATCCAGTGCCTGACATTGCTGCGATCCCTTTCGACGACATCACTCCTGAAAAGGTATTGCGACGTGACCTATTTCACAACTCCAAACTTGGCTTATTGAGAGACTTTGTTGGGTCGTCGATATTGATCTTGATTCACCTTGGATATTTTTTCTGGGAGAATGCCCCAAACAACAGGGATGTGTGTCTTGAACGTTGTTATGCACACTTTTTGATGTACACCAAAACTGTTGGAAAGAGGGCTGCTCTTAGGTCATTCACCGCGACGTTTCTAAACGCGAAGACGCAGGCAGAGTTTGGCTGGATCAGTTCCAAAGGATCTGACACAACAATATTGGTCAAGTGGCTGCGTATCCTATCGAAAGGATGTCTGCAAGACCCACGAGATGCGAGTCACAGGTTGTTGCTCCATCACATGAACCTAGCCGCGAACTGTGTTGTTTCTTGGCAGCGAATTCTGTATTCCCATGGCAACTGGCTGCCAAGACATTGTGCTATGGTGGTTTTCCAGGAGTTGCATGATTTCCTGGATCATTACAACAGCCTTTCGTTCATATCGATGTACACTTTCCAGTTCCCAGGATTCGCAAAGAAAGCAAAGTATCACATGGTGGCCCATACCAAGTACGAGCTGGGTGTCTTGATTGACTCTGGGGTCAAGTTGCTGCCAAACCCGCTGATGCACGGATGCGAGATGAACGAGGATGTCATTGGGAAGCTTGCGCGGTTGAGTAGGAGGACATCCTCTCGAACCACTACCATGCGTACGCTTCACCTGTACTTGGCAAAAGCCAAGGCAGTCTACAAACGGTTTCTCAAACAAAAGAAGCAGTAAAATCAAGAGCGACTCCGGTTGACGAACGGACCCCCTCGCCTCGTCTTCCATCCATTGGGCACCATGTTGGAGGCGCAGGTTTGGGACTTTTAAATTCCAGGTACTTATACGATTCGAAATCATGACGTTTCATGGCTGGAGAACAATGAGGGTTTGTGTGCAATCTATGTCGGCCGATTCACTCACAATGATTTGTCCTTTCAGCTTTTGGAGCTGCGGTCTTTCCATACCATCAATCTTCTCATGTCATTATGAGTTTTCATGTGAACAGTTGGGTGTGGTGAGGACTGAATAAGTTTCAACTCAGGCGTTTTTTGTTAACCCTCAGGCGTTTCTATCTTGAAAAGGCGAATGTTCCAGAAGCAGGTGGAAATTTCCGCCTTTTCAGCTACCGGCGGAAAAAATGAACAGGCGGAAGGTGCAGGTATAAGTTACAACATGTTAAAACATAAAAACAATACGTGACTCTTAATGAACCCTTGAGTAGCACCCCTAGAGACAGGCCAACAATACGTTTTGATTGTTTTTTTTGAGTGTTTTGCCCTTCGGCTGAATCCGGACCGATTATTCAGGACCTATTCACAAAATCAGGACCTATTCACTCCAAGACACAACTCCAGGTTTGTCACACCGGCCCTCGGGTTGCCACCCGGATGCATCGCCTATCTGAGAACATTCCACCCGCCCCGGTCCAGCTTGGCTTCAGATGGCCTTAGTAACGCAGGAAAATTAAGTCCTTCAGCTTCGCCTTGCACTGGACCATGCAAGCCGATGGGGTTGAATGAGTCTTCTTTCATCCATGGCAGTCAAAATCTTGTTGTTCTGAACACTGTTTAAGGAGAAAGTTGCATCAAGTCTAGTTCCGGCAGTTGACAGCTATAGTTATATGGGTTGGTTCTGTTGATTGCCAAATACAGTCGTGTTGGTCCAAATGAACTCGGAATCCCTGACCGTCAGCAGAAACAAACTCGGGATCTGAGCCAATTGAACACACATATTCTGCATGATCTGCATGGCCCCATTCCTTAAAAGTGAGCTCAGACAGCCACTCAAAGCGCACAACAAACACTATGCGGATGAGGGTATATAGCATCCAATTGGTTATTGGTTTTTCATTGCAGCATGGACATGGAGAATCCCGTGGGGCCTGCCGTGGCCTTGGAAGATGTATCGGTGCTTGGTGCACACGGAAGTTCTGATATTCCATCAGGGGCAGGTGGGAATCGAAGCTTGAATGGAGTTTTCAATCTATGAATATTGTATACATATATATATATAAAGACACATAAAGTTTGGTAACTAGACTCAAGGGAAGGTACTTGTATCAGACTCGAAATGAACCTTGGTTCCTGGTGGAGCTTGCCATAGAATTGACCAGCTTTACTCTGGAGACCCACCGACGCACTTTTCTGGTGAAAGAAGATGAAAGAACCAAACTTGGCATGTTGTGCCCTTTCCATCATCATCAATGGAACAATCGCATCGCATAGTGTTGGTTGTTGCGCCACGTTTGGCATACTCAACCTTTAGCCATTTGCTTGTAATGTTTCCCGTTCCCACACCGAGGATGCCCGTTCGAACCACACCTGATCGTTAAGACCAGCGCCCGGGCCTTGGTTGAGGTACTTCAGGTCGCATCTCCACCAATTGGGAGCTCGCCGAAGCTGAAGGGACCCTGGAGGCTGGAGAGGGGTGTTGCGCCTTGAGAGGTCTGGGAGGTCTTACGGGAGGGGTATGGGGGCTTGAGATGGGACCTTTGCCAAGGAGAGGCTCCGTTTTGATCGGAATGCCCATAAGAAAGGCTCAGTTGTGTAAGTGTATTGGAAGGAAAAAACACAGAGTGGCGGGGGTGGGTTGAAACAGTTGAGTGTTGAACAAGTGATAATGCTTCTGACCCGATTCATCAACAAAACCGGCTTCTCCAACAAGAAATTGAAACTTTTCTCACAGAAAGCCCACACGCATGTGCGGCTTCACGCCTTAAGCGCCGGCCTAAGCCCTCAGTGCTGCTCGTGGATCTATCAAGTCGTTTGTTTTTCAACCACATGAGCCGTCCTCGCAGGTGATGGGGATGGTCCAGGTCAAAAGCTGGAGCCGGGTCGCACCATGTAGCGAACCTCCAGTATCGTTGGTAGGACGTGCCCGGTCAGTCTCCTGTAGTGCCATGACCCAGCATGCCAGTCTACTGGTGCCATGGCCCGGAAAGCCAAATTTCATGCCGAGCCGAGCTAGGCCCTTGGCCATGCTGAGCCGCAGCCGCTCCGAGAGCACGCTGGGAAGCCGACGACCCTCTTCACGGGACGGCTGGGAAGCACAGACGGTGAAGGCGGTGACGGCTATATAGTTTCACACCAAAGAGATCCAAGGAGCCTTTTGAGTTTGAAAGGTTTGAACATGAGATGCCAATGAACGTGGCTTTGGGGATGCTTTGGGGTTTATATGGATTTATTGCAACTCTTTCCAGAATTTGTTCAGACCATGTTCAATGAAGAAAGCATCCGCCGTGGCCCAAAAGAAACAAACAACATGCGCCGTCCCGATGCCGCTTGCGGAGGCGATCTGTCCCTGCCAGAGTTGGGACCTCCTCAGGCGATCTGTCGCTCCGCCTGTCGAGTCGGGGGGGGACGCAGTAACTCGGCCGGTCAATACTCGGAACACGGAAGGGGGAACTCGGATTGGTTTGGGTGTTTGCGGAACACGATGTGACTTGCACCTGGCTGCCTTGGCATCACACCTCCGACTAAAAACAGTTCGATGGTTCAGAAGCAGTTTTGGCGAACGCTTCAGTGAGAACATGTCAAGAAGTTCACTACCAGCGGTCTTTTCCCCTGCTTTTAATCTACTTCAGTCAGTTTACATACTGCTACGCGAGATTTGCCATTTTTGGCTTGGTATGTCCTTTCCTAGTTTGGGCAGGATAATACAACAATATACAGCAATCTATTTTGTTGATTATTTTGGAACCCAGAAGAAGAGAGATGGAGAGAGAGCTGAAAAGGACAGCAAACAATTAAAGAGGACCACCCAGCCAAGAAGGATGCTCAGATAAGGGATATATGCTGGCTAAGAATTTGAAAGCAAAAATGAAAACGACGCATTGCAAAGTTTCAGTTGTCAGATTTACTGTATGTCAGATGCTTCCTTTGCCAACCGGTTGTTGATCAGGAGTTTTCCTCCTTCACACGCACGCGTAAAAACACGTAAATACGTGCAACACATACCACATATCAATGTCAATGTTGGTTTGCAATTGCTGAACTTGCAGAGAAGGGCTGGCTCTAGCCCTCAAAAAACAGTAATCGGAAGGGATTATCCTAGATCACTGGAAGACTGAGACTCCGCAAACGTGTGGTTTTCCACATCCATGTTGTTGCCTCGGGGTGGTTTTCCCCTCCATCGCTTGGACCCAAATTGGCCTCCAAAGATCTTCACCACCAGGCCAAGGTGCCTTGCTTGGTGGGTGTGCCTTCCCACCGCCGTCGGGCACTCAGATATGTCTTTCAGACCCAACACATCTACCAGTGGTGTCAAGTGGTGTGGTTTGGGAGGATGACTTCCCATGACTTCCCTAACTATCATCAACTGCTATGGAGGGTTTTGCCCCTGCATTGCAGGGGTTGAGGGTCCTTATATAATTCTTAGGGTGATTGACTATTTTTTCTTGAACCAGACGTCTTCGCAAGGTGATGTCTTGTCTTTTTTGGTTCGGCTTTCCAAGAGTTCAGCCTTGACGGTGGGCTGGTCCATTGTTTCGTTTCCCTGTTCCATTGGTCGCAGTTGGAGATCCTTGCAGTTGGAATGCCCCGCTGCAGGGCCGCTGGCTGATGGCAAGGTGCCACCTTGGTTCCTTCACATCTTTGTGAAGTATGTTAGCGAGCCCTATGCCTATGCATGTGTCGCTAAGGGGGTACCCCGAGTGCAGTGAAAACACAAGACGTAGCTGAAACATGTTGAAACCTGTTACAGGGTGTGTGGTCTGGAGCTCCCCAATGTTGAGACTTAATGTTGGAGGATGTCTTCAAACATCCAGAGCATTCCAAGGTCTTAATAATCAAGCTTACTTGGCCAATCTTGGCTGGACCTTCCAACTACCAAACTGTTCTGTCTTGGTTTTATGGTCATTTTGGTCGTTCTTGTTTGTTTTGCACCATGTTGATCAATTTTGCGGATTTGTGTGGTCGGTTGCTGTTTTTGTTGCATGTGTTTTACACTAATTTGCGGTTGTTTTGACGTTTGCGCTGATTTGAGGCCGTTTGCGTGGAAAACCAGGCCAACAACCAACATGACCAGAATTTGTTGGTCATTGGAAGATTGTTTTTTTTTTACATACAGTACATGTACCACTCACAGACCACTTAAGAGACTCCTTTGTATTTGGATCAATACTCAGAAACTCACACACCACTTAAGAGACTCCTATATATAGGAGTGGTGTGAATACTTCAATACTCAGAATGAATTGAACATGCTCATGACCCATGATGAGACCGTCGCGGTTTCTTGCTGGCTTTGTCGGATATCACCCACCTACTTCAGCGTTTGCTGAAGGTGGCACCAGATTCCGAGGGAACAAACATCACAAGATGTCCAACTACCAGGAGTTTCAAAGGAGTGGTATACAGACCCATCCAATGAGCGGTTACGCATGTTCCTCTCACATTCACATCCCAAACTCCCATGTTCATGCCAATCCAATGGAACTCGATGTTTTATCATCTGAACTCGAATTGGTTGCGACTCATGGAGACCCAGTCGTGGCGAACCACCCGTGCGAACACCTCGCTCCATACACCATCCGAGGCCAGCTCCTGGGCGCCCGCGACAGTCCGGAGGCTGCGGAAGAGACCGCGCAGTGGGTGGACTGGGTCGACGTTTTGGGAGACCTTGGAAACTTGGGAAGAGATATGGAAGAAAAAATGAAAACCAGACACGACCCATGGGACTGCCATAGGACTGCCGCCCCAGACAGACCCCCCCTAGCACCACCCCTGGCCGTTTCTCGGCAGTCCGGCAGTCCCATGGGTCGAACGGGCGGGCCTTCGGACTGACCAGGTCCGGTCGCAGCGGTCGCACGTGGTGTCCAGCGCCACAAAGAACTGGAGCATGTCGCAGTGTTTGGCTTGTTTGATGGGACATCATCTCCCCATCTCTCGTGCTGTGAAAAGGCTGCAAGAAGTCCCAGTCAGTTGATGCACTGCTACTGTAGCACGTGACTGCTCTAGTTGGAAGCATTCTCCTCTATAGCCCTCTCACCTTTAAGGTGATTATAGTTTATGATAAAGGAGTGGATATAAAGGCTTTTCACAAATACAAATACAATTCATATCAAATCCACAACCCCAAAAACCATGCTAGTCCACTGGTCGACCGTGGAGTCTCCCCAAAACCAGCTCACGCGGCCCGGCCTCGCCTCGCCAGGTGAGGATCCTTTTTGACGAGGTGAGCGGATGGATCCGGATCCATCGATCCAGACGAAACGGTGACCGCTGGGGTGTTTGAACCGATCAGTTCAGTGTTTTTGTTGTTTTTCCTGGTGTTATTTTTTCATGTACAGGCATCTATATATAGTGCAGTTCATGGAGTATTTGGGAGAGTTTGGGAGTGTATCTTGTTTATTCAACAGCCCTGAAGAGACGAGATTGTATGTCCTGGGACTATGCAGCCCGCTCTCCGGGATCTCCAGACGGTGGCGATTCGTTGCCCCCGGACGAGGAGGGCATGTGTGGATGTGTCATGGATGTGTTCTTCAGACGTCCAGAGACCGGGGTGTCTAGTATATGTTTCTAGAGTCTTCTCATGATGTTTCAAGAGTCTGTAGATGGGCATTTAGACCTACTGAGCACGGGACAACTCTCCTGTTGGACTTTCAATTTTCAATGAGGTCTGCGACCGTGAGTAACAGCAGGTTGATGCGCCTGACGCGCAATTAATTGCACGGCTGGCAAGCAAACTTGAGTGCTTGATGTGCGAGAGATGGTGGACATCGACCCACCAGCAGCTGCAAGGAGGGTTCCTGTGACCTGTGGGGTGCTGGAATCATCATGAATCATCCAACACGGGCCAGATTCACCCCAGGGAAGAAGGTCCTTTTCACACCACAAAGTTGCTGAAATGATGCTGAATGACCCCCCAAACTCTCCCTGTCACCGCATCAAGTGGACTCCAAATTCGCGAACCACAAGGACACTCCACCGGTCCACCTTTTCCCCAACCCGGCCCCGTCGAAGGGAAAGGGCTCTCGGCTCCTTGGATCGGCCACAGGCGTTGCCAGGTCCCATCATGGGACATGACGTCTTGGGCGAGGCTCGAATCCCCAACGGGCGGTGCTGCGACGCGTGGTCGCTTGCTTCTGCCGCGCGGAGTGGAGCTTCTGGTGACGCGCTCGGTGTAAAGGACACTGCACCAGGCTTCGGAAGGTGGCGGTTCAGAAGGTTTCACCACACAAGGACCTGCATGAAATTCGCGGGCTACTTTGGACGTGCAGTCTTCGGACGGGGAAGAATCATTTTGAGATGGTTTTGAGATGAGTTCGATGAACATCTCGACTTGTTGATCTCGATATTGGAAATTTACCTATTCATGTTCGCGCCATCTACTCTGAATCCGGAAAAGATGGGGATGGTTAAAGTTAGGAGCTTGGTTGCAATGGTCATCCGCTGCAAGTGAGGGTGAAGCAAGTCGACCAAAGCACAATCAACGACTTAAACTCATCCAGAACTCCACACTGCCAGGACTGTGAAACTTCAGGTCTGTTTGGTCACCAGGGGGTGATGTGACCTCAAATAGAGGGACTGGACTCCTGGACTTCTGGACCTGATCTTTGATCTCTACATTTGAGTGAGACGGCTTGAAACCCCTGCGTGCCAAGAGGGTGTCGGTGTCTAGAGCTGCTGCCCGGCTTGGAAGAGTGAAAGCTGGTCGAAGCCAAGAGACGGGGGTTTCGCCCGGAAGAGGCGAGGGGTGACGGAGCTTCCTTTCGCGTGGTTTTGGGAGACTGGCTGCACTAGCTAAATGCATCAGCGGGCACCCTGAGGTACCAATTAATTGGTTTCATATTATATAATGTTCCAAATCTGCACCAAAATAGTAGTCAACTTTTATAATCCAGAGTTGGATGACGATGATAATCCAGGAAATTTATTGAATGCAAGCTGACCTACATGCAAGCCAGGAGAACCCACCCCAGATGGTTTTTTCTTCCTAATTAATCGGGGGGGGTCTGAAACTGAGTGAGGAGTGGATGCACATGTACATCACCCCTGGATTCATTTATGGGGTGTGCCTTAGTTATATAAATATTCTGGGGTATACCCATACCTGTTGGAATATTAAATATTGAATATGTTAATATGGTGTCAAGATTTATTCTCTATTCCTGAAGGTATGCGATAACCTCTTGTTCAGCTGCTCTGGAATATTGTTTCATTTTGTGAGATCTCTGACAGACACCACCCCCTCAATTAATAAATGACCATGTACCTGGGCGCCCCCCAATTAATTTCTACAAAATGTATTCAATTCATTGAAAAAAAAATAATGGACCCTAAGTATGGTGCAAATTGATATTCCCAATATATGTGGTGAGGTATCTGAATAGTAATGTCTTATTAATTGACGGGGGGGGTGGGGGACCCCCTCCCTTAGTGATGAGAATATGTTTTTGGACACCCCTACCTGAACCTCCAAGAGGCTATATACACCTCTTGGAAGGTCCTTGTAGATGCTCATGGACCCGAAGTAGCCACTTTAGTACGGCCCAAAACCTGAGGGCCCTGGCGAAGTGAACATCCTGGCCTAGGGCCTGGCGGAGTGCCAACAGAAGCAGATGGGACAGACCAGCCTGAATGGGTTCGGATCACATAGGCCGCGAAGGAGAAAAAACTAATCCCGAATCATACCACTGTGACATGTGTGCTCTTAAAGCACCCAGATTGGCGGAGGCCAAATGGTCATTGATTTGATCATATATATATATATATCTGATCCATGTTTTGTGGTTTCTATTTGTAGTCGATGTGGTCACATCTTTGAAGGATGTTTTTTTTCCAGGATCCTTGTGAACCAACTTCGAGCTACAGTTAGGCCCGGGCGCAAGTTTGATTTCCACTTCCGGGTTGCCCTTATGCGTACATGGACTTTTCCCGCTCCTTTGTTTGGGGAGGTGGGGCGGGCGCGTTTTTGTGCAGTGGCGAACCGAGTTCCCAACGCTAAGGCCTTCACTCCAGGACGGGTTCTGGTGGCTGGCCGGGGAGCGGATCGTGAAGCGAACGGCGGCTGGGCACCAGAGTGGAAGAGCACATGGCTAGACACCCTTTCTCGCCCCTGGCTGGGTAGACTGGACGATTTTCCAAACCAACCCCAGGGGGGTGAACTGGGAGGTCTCCCTATGTGAGCAACACTCCCATGTGGGAGGAGGATGTCTTTTCATCAGGGGTCTAACACCATGTAGTAGCGAAAGACCTTCCAGGCAAGCAGGTCGGTCTACTGGTGCTGATGATCCACAGCCCTATGATCATCTTCTACTGGTGGTTTTCAGTTGTTTCATTGTACACTGCAGGAAGCAGTCCAACAGAGACAGTTCACGGTTGATTCCCTCGTGGGAAATTCAAAGGTTTTTGACTGCCTTTGCTGTTCGTATGCCCATATGGTCGTTTCTACCAGCCCCTCAACTAAAATAGAACAGGCACAAACCGCACGTCTGAAGGCTGTCAGACAAATACGTTGCACTTGCAGGGCCATTTTGGTTGTGTGATGTTTTGTGGGAAATTAATTCTAATCGGGACACCCAGTACTGGAATACACATTTGATGTAGTACAAGGGCAGTATACGTACATGATCTACGCGGCAAGATGTGCTCTTCAACACGGATACCAGTTCGACTGGTGATGCAGTCACATGTTGTCCTTTTGAGGATTTACTTTGAGGGTTTCCCCTCCCAGAAAGTCAAGGTTGTTCTTCTTGTACAATCAGCTTGCACACTCGGCGCAGTCTTCCAGTCCCTGACTCCGGAAAGTGGGCCAATAACCGATGGTATTGGCTATGCAAACTCGCTATGAATGTGGATGACATTCATGGGTGACATCGGTCCAAATATACTTATACGTGTTCTTAAGATATCTTACAGGAGGTACATCCAACTCGTATTTATGTCAGAAGAGACATGCACTTGTCTAAGCTCGGATGGGCTCCTCCCCAGTCTCTCCCAGTCGTCCCACCGAGTCCCTCACGAGTCCATCGGCCAGTTACCGCCCGAGTTTCCGGGGTCGCTGCGTTGTGCGGATTGGGTTATACCAGGGCCCAGGGCCCCCTAAGGCCCTAAGGGGTGGTTCCTGCATACAGTACCCTTTAACCTCTAAGGAGCTATGATTAGAAACCCCTTAGGGCCTTAGGGGGCCCTGGTATTTGATGTTCTCTGTGGATTCTGGTGGAGATACTGTATACTTCCTGGCATTTCACCCTGGGTCATTTTCCCGGCCTTCTGTACTGTATATATATATTTCCACAGCAAATCAAGGGGGGGAGGAGGTGAAGCAGCGAACAATGAAGCGAGTCATGCCTGAAAATGGGATGTGTTGTTTTCCTGGTGATGTGGGATTGCCGCCACCGCCTCTGGCTCAAGACGATGGGTTGAATGAGCTTCCACCAAACGTGGCCTGTAGGTAGACGAAGTTCCCAAGAATCCCAGCGATGTCCCCCTGTTAGTTCAACAAGCAAATCCCAGGACCATCTAGTCTGGGTGTCCAACAGACAAACAGAAGCCCACAAGTGTCGAAGTCTATTTCGGACCACAAAAGGTCCAAGATACAGTAAGGCCGGCCCCATCAGAAAAGGGTTGGAAGAAGACATGGTACGTCTAACACACCAGCTCCCTATTAATATGTTTGTTGTATCACGTTAGGCCGTTAAGATCATTGGAGGTTATACTTGTTATCCATTGGAATCACCCTCTCTAGGGAATCAAGAATATCCAGGCCCTTCAGCGAAGACAAGCACAGTAGAGCTGGAGCTGAGTACGCAGTACGCCCAGGATGAGCTCGCTTCGAGCGAATCAAAGCTACAAGCTGGCCAGTTCTTACCTTGTGTTCTCCACGTGCCTCACAGTTGCAAGACACCAAGCTTCAAACAATTGGAACATCTCCGATGATCTCCAGCCGGTCTCAACCCGCGATGAGCAGCTTGTCCGGGCTGACCGAGGAGGCGGGGGCCGCAAAAATCAACTACGGGGGAATAGGCGCCCAGAGAAAAGGACGCAAAATACATGGCCAGACAGCCAAGAAAAGAGAATATATAGGTATACTCCCCACCTAGACCCCTCCAACAGGATGAATTCAGTCTTTTAATAGGTGGTTTTTGTAAGCACCATACCACCTACCACCTTGCACCAGGCTTTTTGGGAGGGCCAAGGACGTTGTTTGTTTGCAGGTCTTTGGGGGTGGAGGAGTCTTTTTCCGACGCGGGAGAAGCGGTAAGCGCTTTGCGACTTGTAGTCCCAATGATCAGTTCTGTGAGTTTGTAATTGGAAACAGCACACGAACGCAGGATTTGGCTGTTTGGATCTTGATACAACAGTGGATTGGGTGTTTGAGCTCTACAACCAGTGGATTGGGTGTTTCTTGAATTTTCCCAGAGGTCTTTGCGGGGGGGCCTCCCTATTCTAAGACACACCCAGCTGAACATGTTTCAATGCATGCCCTGCATCGTTGATGTGCTGTTCCGCGGCACAGTCGCGGCGCGAAGCTACGCGGCGTGGAAGCGGCAACGGCGGGAGTGGTGTCTATGTTGGGCCACCAACAACCGAGAAGTCTTCAGATGGGACTTGGGACTTAGTTTACGAATCGGATTCTATCGATTGCAGTATCCCCATGACTTTCTGGCCACAAAAGTAAGTGGCACTGGATCGCGGGGATTATGGCTCCCAATCCCTTACTTCGAGTGATCCCCACCCTAAGAGGCGACTTGGAAAAAGGGCGGGGCGTGTGTATTGACAAACTGCTATCCGCTGTTATCCTGACATTTGTTCAGCCATGACTTGAGAACATATGTTGGATCTTTGACAGAGCAGTTGAGTGACAATCTGTGCAGCCATGGCATGACAATCATGGCGTCTTAAGATAGAAGAACACAAAGTATGTTTAGACAAACAACATGCCAATAACAAGAGAACCTCAGAAACAAAAACAAACGCACAGAGGATTTGCTGGTGACAGGCGGGTTCGAACGCAGTGACCCAAATTCATTATAACGCGTGCAGAAACCATGCTGTTCAACGAGAGGTTTGCTACGACTTTAAGGCTGTTCACTGATCAAGGAGAGAGTGGACCATGGTAGCTGTTCAGTGACCCCTGGAGATCCATCGCTCGCGACACCCACCGCGACACCGACCGCGGTGTGTCGCGCTCGGTCTGGAGGCTCAGGCGTTTGAGACTTCCTCAAGCAGTAGCGCAGAAGAGAAGGCACCGGAGCACTGCTCGAGATCCCGGTTTGTCCGGTTCGGTGGTGATGGTTGGATTGCTTTTATTGGTTTTGATATTCTCTTTGCAGTGGCCCTTCAGCCGAATGACAGCCCAAACGTATTCGCTGGAAGTTGTGGCCGCTATATTGTATTGTAGATATTATCATGTATATACTGTAGGGATCTGTAGGGATTTGTTTGGTCCTTTTCGTCGTGTTGTCCCTTGGTTGCTTGGCCTAACGCATCATTTTCGACCTCCTGCGGTTGTTCTATTGTGCAAAAAGAGGGGCACACACGAGCTAAGATAGTATCGTTGAATCATATCAGACACTCCATGGGACTGCCATATTTACTGATCAGTTGGGGTGGTGCCACGGGGATCAATGGGGTGGCATATATGGCAGTCCCATGGGTGGTGTCTGGGATATATGTAGTTGAAATTCCGTATACCACCTCTTGGGAGTGAATCAACCACCTCTTGGGAGTGGATCCAGTTTTGCATCTTGTGTTGCTTGTTCCTTCAGGCTGAGGTCCGGCTGAGGTCCTAGTCCAGATCACAGTCGACTGGTTGCACCATGAGTTTCCAAAACGTGAGGGCATGTAACTAGATCCATCTAGATCCCAACCCTTGGACCCTCCAAGATCGGTGCTGGCTGTGTGAGCCCAGACGGTACCGGTTCTGGCTCGGTTCTGGCACACAGCCGAGATCAGTCGTGGAGTCTTTTTCAAGGGCAGACGATCGCGATCGATGCAGTGCAAACACCAGAGAGCGATTGATATTGTATAGGAAACACCATTCCCAGACACTCCATGTATGCAATATTTGCCTACATCGACCCCCCTAAACCATCCCAATGTAGGTAAATATGCCATACAAGGAGTGTCTGGAATTTGTAGGTTTTCTCATGTCAAGATATATACCAAGACCGTCCAACTAACGGACACCCACAAGGAGTCCAGTATAGTGGAGGGTGGTCTATTGTGGGACTCTCAAACAAGGAGGCTCCACATGCAACTGTATGACATGCCCCAAATCGGAGACCTCCTCGACTAAGCACTGGCACATTCCTTTTGCGACCCTCTTTCTCGTGACGGCCTGTCTTCCGCAACGAAGATCCGCGTGCGTGGCAGGAGGTGGCAGAACTCCTACAACCGGACGGGTGTTGGGATCGTTGGGATTGGTCATCGTGGGGTCGCTGGGACGTGCTCGACACATCGCTCGATGCTCGCAGACGAACCTGGTGATGCTGCCTAGACCCTAAGGTTAGGTGGCAAGAAAGGAAGGTCCAAGACCCAGAGACACCCATCTCTTGGAGCACTGCTCTTCAATAATGAGTTCTCCAACCAGGTCCGTGACCCATGGTGATCCCATTTGAACTTCCGTTTCTCTTCCATGTGGCAAAAGATCCTCGAAGTGGACGAGGGGAGGGGCACCAAATTGGAGTGCATCGTCAGATCTCCAAGCCTGGTGAGCTGGGTCAAGTCGCTGGTGTGTTCCTCCTTTTTGACGCTTTTTCACCTGGATGTCCTGTACCCAGACACTCCATGTATGCCATATATGCATACATTGACCCCCCTAAACCACCCCAATGTAGGTATATACATGGAGTGTTTGGGGTATGTAGGGAGAGTAGTAGATTTGTTCTGTTCCGACAATCCACTGTTCCCAATCAGTGGGTTGTCGGCATTGGATATCATTCCTCGAGCGACTAAAGAGGTTCCCTTTGGTGCCCTTCGGTTGCAATCGAACAATCCAAACTACAATCCCTGGAACTATCGTTTTCGAAGTGGACAATTGCACCATTGGAAGACTACTTTGCTCTACAAACAGGGTTTTGTTCCACTTCCATGTGAGTTCCAGGGAGAGTATGTGTACGCTCCGCCTACGTGTGCAGCCGATGAATGCTCACAACACCTAACCATCCGACGCCTCGAACCGCTGCCGACGTGGAACAGGAGTATTGCCATGAGATTGCATATGATGATCCCCCATGATATTCGGACTAGAGAATGGGAGGGGTTGACGAAAGGGTAGGACTGACCCCTCCATGTGATTTTCATGGGGGATATATGATGTATATAATATACATACCCAGACACGACTATAATGGGACTGGCATGTTTACCGATCAGGCCAGGGGTGGTGGGTGGTTTATGGCAGTCCCATGGAGTGTCTGGGATGTGTATAGTACTAGTATATTATAGTATACCATTACTGAGGTGGAAATAGATTGAAACTTTGAAACATCCATGTATGGTTCTACATGCCATTTACCAGTGGATTTAAAGCATTGACAGGGTACCCGATGTGTATTATAGACATAGGCTTAGACGTGGAATTTCTTACGTTATCAGACCGTAATAATATTCAATCCAATTGGGAGTCATTTACTGTAGTAGTTCCAAAGGGACGCCTTTTGGAGGATAGGAATGCGGATTATCCACTCACTTAGGGACTAGAAACAATTCCTTTAAGCCTGCTGGTGCTGTAGTCATAGTCCACTCACTTAGGGACTAGAAACA